ATAACTCCAGTATTATTTTGATTCAAATGTCAAAAATAACTTCAATATTATTTCTTTTCAAATGTCAAAAACAACCTCAATATTACTTCGATTCATATGTCAAAAACAATCTCAATACTATTTTGACTTAAATGTCACAAACAACCTCAATATTATTTTGATTCAAATGTCAAAAATAATCCTGATACTGTAACTTAGTTAATATTTTATTATTTTATGTTTAATATTTGTCGTTGCATCTCAGCAAAGGAACTTTTTCCTTCGAGAATTTTTCTTTACCATGAGTATACTCTCAGACCAAAACAAGTCTTTCATTATTCAGCTGAAAAGCTACGCTTCAACTTCAAAGAACTCTCCAAAAACATAAAAAGAAGGAAATATTCCACTTTCAATGTTGTCGAAAACGTGCGGATATTTGAAATGTTGGAACACATTCACATATAGAAAATTTCTTCTCTACCTTTTCGTATTTGAATTTCTTATACCGTCACAAAGAAAGTATAAATCGTCGCACAAATACTAAGAAAGCGGCTGTTTATTTTGTAATATACTTAAAATATATCCCATCACATTGTTTACATTCTCGCTTTTTTATGTTACCAGCCGTGATTTATTTGCATAATGCGAGTAAGACTAAGAAGATACACTTATGGACAATATTATTATTAACATTAGAAATTACTTATTAAATTACAGAATAAGTTTCCGAAATTAAAATCCGTTAAGTTCTGACTATTATATTAAAAAAATAAGCAATTGAGTAATGAACTAAAACTAAATAATACATACAAGCGCAAAAGCTAATCAATGCGGAAATTTATTTACCATCTTTTAGATTGCCTTTGCTGATTTTGTGCTATTAACGATTATAGGAAAATAATCAAACTATTACGCCATTATAGCATCATACTTCCACATTCATTTATTCACTTTATACAAAAATATCCGCATCCCTTTATATCACTATCTTTCCGAAATTTCACCGATATAAAACAGATGGTACAAGTGTCAGTAATTTGGCCTGTTTAGCAGGTTCACCAGGCTCGAATAATGCGATGATTGTATGATTTTTCACTCGCACATTTTATTTCTTTACTACTACTGATTGATTGAATATTGATTTCGTGATAAAAAAAGTGGAGCCATCCTTAGAGCTTTCATCTGTAAAATTTTTGGGCTTATTTTTCACAATAAAATAACCGTTTTACTTTATTTACTATTATCGAAAACGGCTATTATTTTACAGTTATTATTAAAATAATTAGTTAACGACTTAATTATTTTACAGCTTTCAAGCAATATATCACAATCCAACTATAAAATAAGTAACAGCTTGAACAATTAGACCTTGAACTGGATTTTAATCATTATTAAAATCAAATTATTAGTTTTCGAATTAGTTTGAATAATAGTTGTAAAAGATAAATTAAATAAGTAAAGACTGTTTTGAATAAACATAAACGAAAATATAAATTAAATGAAACAAATCTAGGAAAATAATTATTTAGAAGACGCAATTATTTTATAAAGAAAGTATCTTTTCTTCTTTTTTCCCAGAACTAAATTGTTGCCATATGATAATTCCTTAGGACTAAAACTTCTTAGAATTCTCTTGTGGATTAAATTAAGGGTTTCCGAGACAACTCAACTCTACTCTTCGACCGTCTCATTACTGAGAATTATTTCTTGTTTTCTGCTTCTCTTTATCGGTAATCTTCGCTTGTTATTCAAACAATCCCAAAAAAAGAATACGGAGATGTCGCTCAGGTGGGCTATTAAAATAAGCAGCGAAATAATGAGGTTAAAATCCTAAATCTGAACGATGGCTAAACGGGGATTAAAAATAAAATTTTAAAAGATTGCAGAATGATAAAATGACGTTTAGAGTTTTAGAATTGGCTAATGAAGGATATATTTGGTAATGATATTTAATCCTTAGTAATAATGATGGGCTTTAATGTAAAATATGTCATGTTTTTATTGAATATTGAAACAATTAAAATTAAAATAAAACACAGTATTGATAAATATTTGTCTATTTATGGTAATGTTAATTTGCGTAGTTTGAAAAAATTATTTTCAGTTATAATTAAATCTTTGCATGGCATAAGAAGTAAGCTTAAGCTTTTTTAAATCAGGGATAAATCTTTTCATAAAGATTACCGAATATATAATGATTCTTATGGTTAATTGCAATCTGTTGCCGCAGATTAATTTAAAATTTACACTGTTTTTATTGATAGAAACATTTGGTAATGATATTTAATCGTTAGTAATAATGATGTATTAATTTAAAATATGCCATGTTTGTGTGGAAGAAAAAAAGAACTAAAATCAAAATAAAACGGAGTACTGATAAATACATGTCGAGTCATGGTGAAGGATAATTTGCGAATAGCTTAGAAAATTCCTTTGAGTAATAATTATATCGTTTTTATGACATAAGAAGAAACTTTAAACTTTTTTTAAATATTAGATAAACATTTTCATGAGAATAACAGAATATATATATTGCATTTTTATAGTTAACTGCAATGTATTCTGCAGATTAATTTAAATATTTCACTGTTTTTGATGATGGATACATTTAGTAATGATATTTAATCGTTAGAATTAATGATAAGTTTTAATGTAAGACATGCCATGCTTTTTTTTAAAAGATTGAAATTTAAGCCAATTAAAATTAAAATAAAACAAAGCAGTGATAAAAGTAAATCTAGTCCTTATATTCATTGATAAAGGTCATTGTATATAAAGGTAAATTTTGCAGTGTTTTTAAATGTAACCTTTTCAATAAATAAATATCTGTTACAACACTTTTTTCTCCATTAGCTAGGTGCTAGAAAGTTTAAAGTTCGGTTGACTTACATTTTTCTCTTGCATCGAATAATCATCATCACGCGTGCTGCAAACGCCAAGGTACGAAAGAGCCCACGACCCAGTTTATGCGTCTGCAATAAATTAAACAGCTGCTTGTCCTTTGACCAGAGATAGGTACAAATTTCACCTATTATCTTCGCCTATTTCTGTGGGTGTGTTTCTTTTTTACTATACTTTTTCACTTGTTTAGCTCATAGGCTAACATTTGACAATCCTTTTAACACACTATTCTATACAGATTTTTGTCTGTGTATTGCCATTATAGGCATTATATTGACGAAGTCTGGTTACCCAGCTTATGACAAAATCTCGTTAGATCAATTCTAATATGTGCATCTAAATCTGAAATTCAGCTAAAATGTACGTCTAAAAAGATGATGGACACTAAAGTCTGATGGACACTAACTCCATTTTGGCCTTAGATCCGATTGAAAATTTTGTCTGTGATGTGCATAAAAAGTCTCTTTAGAACAGTGCTAAAATGTACATCTAACTCAGAAATTACACTAAAATGTATATCGAAACTAAAAACTCATCTAAAATGTACTTTTAAAAAGAAGTATGGAATACTGTTTGGCCAATGTTATCACTTGTGACCATTTTGGCTTTAAGATACGAGTCTGATTTTCGTCTGTGACCTGCTTTTATTTCCAATACATTTCTCGAAGTCTGGTTCCCAGTTAAAGTTCCATTAGAACACTGCTTAAAAATACATTTAAACTCTAATAATTTTATTATTCGCTAAAATATCGAAAGAAAACTTACCAATTTTCAAATTATCATATTTTCATATATGTTTCTTAGTATTGACTTTATAAAAGTCTCTTTCATTATCATTATTTTTCATTTCTCTTTATTTTATGAAAATTTTAAATTGGCCTATAACTTTTGAAAAAGCACGTATTCAGTATTTTAAAGAAAGGACTGTAGCATTTTGTAAATAAACCACCTCTATTTTTGTTTTCTTGATAAAGAAATACGAAGATTAAGTACCAATAGGAATATTATACCAAATTGTACGAAACATTTTTTGATATTTGTTACATCATCTCATAACATATTGAAAGCAAGAATTCTCGCAACAGCCCATTGTGGTCTCTGGATGGGGTGTTGGAGATTAAAGCTCCACTATTTCGTAACCATCAATATTGTGGCAATGTGATCTACAATGCGCAATGACCTCCTTTGCTTCCCTGGCAAGCTAATAGCCATACTGGTACCCGGGGAACAACTTCTAGTTATTCATCGTGACAGCTCACTGCCTGAATAGAGTTAATTTTTTTTCACAGCAAAAGTGGCAAAAAATCGACAGAAGTGGCCAATTCTCGTGGACATTATAAAATATTTTTTCAAGTCAAATAATATCTTCTGTGAGAAGTAAAGCCTCAAAATTTAGAAATTTTGAATAACGATACCAATACTGGCACTACTTTCAGTGAGGTTACGAAAGTCATATTTCTGGGTTAGGAAATGACATTTAAGTCAAAAGCTAACTTATAATCCCAGAAATGCAAATTAAATAACCTAAAGAGGATAGCAATGCTTCCTCTGGAAATTGAATACCTGGATTGTGTTACATACTTACATTTATACACACCATGTATTTACATAACGCATACATTTACATTGTACATACGTATAGACATAATTAACTGTACAGTGCGCAAAACAGCGGACCACCTTAAAGAATTTTTGATCTTATGACCGAATCTTCATGTTCTGGGACTCATTCTGAATAGTTTGGAGAGGTACAAGAGGTCAAATATACTAATTAATTAGTTTCAAACGATATTTTAAGTTACAATATAGGATATAAAAACGTTATTTCTCTGAATAACCAAACATTTTTTTTCTCGACGGATTCGGATTTCTGAGCCCTTTACTGTGATACGGTGAAATTTTTTCGCAACCTTGATACGGAATTAAATTTAATCATTTTTGACTTTAAGTACAACCATGGTATCGTGTATTAAGAAATTCGAATCAGTGGAAAATTGCTCAATTTAGTACCATATTAGAACTGCACCAAAATTAAACGTTTTACTGTTCAACACGCTCTAAATTTTTTAACGTTTTAGTGTTATTTGATCAGAAAGCTTGAATGTTGTTCTCCTACTCACCGGGTGCTACATTTTGGGAAATAAAATTTCTTGTCTCGCAGGGGTGTTCATCACCTTTCCAGCACAGATTGATAGGAATGTTTCCAGTATATCCAGATATGTAATTGGGATATCTCTTATGCGCATTCCATTCTCCACCACACCTACCCCCACAAATACTGTGTCTGTGAAAATGGTGCTGGCATTCCCTGCAACATACCTCGTCCATATTTCATTTACAGGTGTTCATATCTGTTAAATAAATAACATTCAATACACTAATTTCACTCATGTGACAGATAGATATACATTAACTTATTTCCTCAAGCATTGCCTTTTTATTAAACAAGTTAGACAATTATTGGAAAAAATCAATCATAAATACAGGGTGTTCCAAAATTCTCTTTACAACTTCAAAAATTCATAACTTCGAAAATAAACAAGATATTTATATTTTGTCTTTTGCATGCATTACTGCAACTAATAAAGTTTTTTTTCAGTACACTTCAACATGCGCACCATTGGTGGCCCTAAGCACTTCCAGTCTGTAAGATAATTTGTAAGGTAAGTTGTAAAGATAATTTTGGAACACCCTTTATATTATTTTTGATATAAGTACATATTTAACTCAGTATAAATACTGTTGCGTAGAACATAGCATGCATTCAATTAGTTGATGTACCATATATTAAACATATCATATGAAAGGGTAAGAAATTTTGTCGACATCCTACTTTTCATATAAATTGTACGTTTTCAATATACAATTATTTTAAAACTTATGTAAATTCCTTTTAATTTGAATAGTCTCTGTTTAACCCTTTATAGTACTCCCTGTTTTTTTTCTAGTAATATTATGCTATTTTTGGGATGGGAATTGATTTATAAAAAGAAACTCATTTTACTTATTACCGAAAATTATTATGATTTTTAAGTCCATTTTTACTGCTTGAAGAGAGTAGGATTTTCAGAATTTTACCTACTGTAAAGAATTGTTCATAAATTTGAACTTCTGTGCTTATAAATAACCAAGTTCATAAATTATGTAATTATAACTACAAATAAACTCGATAGAAAATTATCAAATAAGGGAACGCAAAACTCACAAGATAAAATAGCTCCCCAGTGATGGCATCTTTTCTTAACCCCACAAAACCTTTATAGTGGCTCATAAGGGAAAAAAAAGCAAAGCCATTCATTCAATTTCTTTTTGTATTTTCTAAAGTTATTAACTTCCACACAAGCTATAGGGAGGAAAATAGTTTTTCATCGATATTTAAAAATTTATTAAGGGTTAATATAGTGATCGCAATACACCATTTTCATAACGCGTTATATTGATATATCATATTGATATTCTAATATCATATTGATATTGATGCACATCGTACATATTATGCATCAAAAATAACAATTTTTATTAACTTCGTCCCCCATATGATTATTATACATTTTAAATTCGCGATTCTTTTAAAATATGTAAACTTAACGTGATATGTAAACTTGACTTAATATGTTTGAACTCATGTGAACTTGACGACTCTCTGTTTAAGATTAGGGTTATACCGAGTGTCCTAAGGATAAATCACCAAATCCATCAAGAAATAGAGCTTCTGACTAAAAGAACTAAAAACCATTCCATGTTATATTTCCAATAACTATTCAAACTGAAATAGTTATATGGGCATCTGTTTAACTATTTATAGACAGCACCATGCTGTTTCAAAAAATGGTGTTAAATTTTGCTTCTTCATTAAGTTCTCCATCCGTAAAAAAAGTTTTGCAACTTAGTGAGAATAAAGGCTTATTTCCTATGCAGAACGCCGCAGTAAACCGTACAGTTCTATCTCTTTTATTTTTCTTAATGAATTTTTCAAATCATCGGCCATCATCGGAACGCATAATAATTCGATTTTGCTATTTTAGCATTACCCATTACATAAAAGCTATTTATGGCGCCATTTTTTAAAAAAATTTAAAACTTTAAGTAATTAAAAACGATTAAAGTGATCTTTTTATTTTGAAGCATTTCTCAAAATTTAATAAACATTACAAGGTTCATTTCTAAAATGAAGAAAAACCTTGAGAAACAAGTGCTAAATAACGTAATTTTTTGAATATCATTAAATATCCATAATAATTCAATATTTATTAGGAAAAAAATAAGAAGATACACACGTGGAGCATTAATGACGAAAAAAATTGCCAACGAGTGGAAACTGGAGAACTATTTTTAAATCGACATCTGTTTTATTTAGTGTGCCTTTGTCACCTTGTGTCCAGTAATGATCGTTTGCTCTATGTTTATTACGCGTATTTAACATCTGTTCTTATACAAAAAAAAAATTGCAATTTTTTATAACTTTTTACAGTATTTAATCACGATAAGTCCGATTTTTAAAGAACATAAATTCAATGTTTATAATTAGCAAAAAGGCTGTTTAATCATTTTTTTTTACCATCATCCCTGCTAAGAATAATCTAAAAAACAGCCCGTGATTGTTAACACGCGTATTCAATATCTGTTACCATGCCGAAAATACCGAAAATATCTGTTACCATGCCGAAGTCCGAATTTTAAGGAATATTGCTGCAATATTTATGATTAGCAAAAATATTATTTAATCAATTTATTTATCTTCTTTCGAATTATGAATAAACTAAAAACCTGACCGTGATTAAAGTCTAAATAGAAATGAAAAGCCGTGAAAAAGACATTTGCATTTGGAAGCCTTTTAAAATCTTAGTTGCCAAAAGAAACAAAGTTAGCGACTGAGTATTCTACCAGAGCTACCGTTTCATATGCAAATTTCATGCCAAACACAAACTCGTTGCTGTTTCAACGTGGCAAATTATATCAGACAAACAGGATTATCTAGTACTGAGCTTTTACTGTCAGTGATAATACCTTACGTTACATCGAAAAACTGCTATTGCATTTTCCATTTTCAAAGTTTTGTGTGTATCTCATTATATCCGGTTAAAGTAATTTGGTAATTACTTTATCCGTATAAATTTAGTAATTTGGTTAGATGAAAGTGTAATTAACGTAATTTAATGTCCCTTTATATTGAAATCATGGTACAGTAAAACTATTTATAATTACATACATTGTGTGATGCAAAACTTCAACTGATTGTGAGTGATAAGATTTTAGTTGTCCGTTAAAATAGATCAAAATTTATTATTTGATATCGACTTATTATCATTAGTTTGAATAATAAGACAATATGTTTATTCAATTAATTAGAGCTCTGATTTAAAATATTAGAATAATTAAAATATTCGACATTAAAAAAGTCTCCTACTTTAAGTAATGTTTTTGTTACTTAAATTAAATTACTATTTTATAGAGTCAAATCTACATATTTTGCAGAATGTTCAAGCTTCGAAAAATTAAAATGAATCGTAAGTACATAGGTTAATTATACATTTTTTAAAAAAAAGAATCAAAATATTATAAATATTAAAATTCCATGAAAAACGGAGAAAGAGACTTAATATTTTGCAGCATCGCTTTTAGCTTTGATCACTGCATATAAATGATCTTGAATGGAATAAGCAAGTTTTTGGCAATCTTCTTTGTTTACATTAGCTTAAGTAGACTTAATGTTCTGCACTAGCTCAGCTTTGTTCATAGGAAAAACTTCCTTTAGTTTCCTTCTTTTCTATATACCGCATACATTTTCAATTAGATAAAGATCTGATGAATCAGCTGGCCACAGTAGCACTGAAGTTTCGCTTTCCTCGGGCCAGATTTTAGTTCATTTTGATGTATGAGGCGAAGCTAAATCTTGTTGGAAAATAAAATCATCCTCAAACAAGTCTTCTGATAATGAAATCATTCAGAAAATATCATGATATATATATATATATGAATTAACTTTTTCTTTGAGGTTGCAGTCTTCCAGGTCTATTTACCCTCATGCCAAATACCAAATTAAAAATATCAGAATAGTTTAAATTAACCAAAATTATTGTGTAACTAAAATGTCCAGCTAAAAATAATTTTTTTTCTACTATGTATAAAAATAGGCCGGGATAGCCAGGTCGGTAGGGCACTGGGCCCATGTCCGAGAGTTCGTGGGTTCGAACCCCGCCGGCCGAAGACTCCCTGAGTAGTAAAAGTGACTGATGCACGTTAAATCTGTCGAGTCGCAAAAGTCCTCCATGCTCCCATAACCTCAGGGGGTACTGGATTGGAGATTGATTGTTCACTGATTCAGGTCAAAATTACGATCTGTGGATGAATGAATGGATGTATGAATGGGTCCGCCCTATAAAACGGGTGTGACGTTTGGTGTGGCAGAAGTCGCATTCTTGGCCATAGATGGCGCCACTGAAAAACAAGAAACGCACACTCTGCCTTAAATATGCTCTGTTTCACCAAGCAGGCTTGCCTGTGTGGCAAGAGGCATTAGAACCAACCACCAACCAACCAATGTATAACAATTTTGTTACAAAAGAACAAAACAAAAAACCGAAGTAAGTTACAAAATATTTTGAAAAACCCATGAAAAAACCTAGCATAAAAAGCAATATTAAAAACTTTAAAACTTGTTTGGATGCCTGAAAAATTAAGAATTAAGTTGGCGAAAAATTAGGTAGATAAAAGGTTGCTATTCAAAACACTTCCAAATACTTTAATTTGGCAATTAAACTAATTTGTTCTTTTTCATGAGCCGTACCATCACACTAGCTGCCTATTTTTCAGAACGTTGCAGACGTTCCTTATCAGGGCTCGAAAAACAGCCCGTTCGCCCGTCCACGGCGGTCATAAATTCCCCGCGCACAATGTATTTCTCGAATCCGATGTCCGCGTGGATGGCCATTTTCCCGTTAATGTTCGTGATACATTTTCAATTTTTTTTTATTTTACAAGAGTCTAGCACCTTACTTCTAAAATGACCCTCTAATCTAGAAATACAGGAACATACTTGGCATGGTGGAATTGATATTTTCTCTATCTGGGAGTACTGCAGCGGTCAAAAGGGACTTTTCAGCAATGAAAAAAAAACACATTACGTACTGGTCTTAAACAAGAAGCGTTAAACGCAATTATGAACATCTACCTAAATGGAAAACCCCTTTCAGATTTCGGTGCAGAAACCTCTGTAAATCATTGGTTTGATTGGGGAACTGGCAAACGTCATATTTGATTCATTTAAAAAACGAAGTACCCACGGATAAATTGACATTCCATATAACTTGATCTTTGTCATTTAAACTATTTCATAAAAGAAATACT